TGGAAAAACCTTATTAAACATGTGGGGCATTTGGTAAAAAGACCTCAGAAAGGCCACACTTAGAGATAAGGCTAACCCAGCCTAAGAGTAAAGTCTATTCTAGCCTCACTTAAACAAAGCTGAAAAAGCTTATCTGCAAGTAAATTAACTGCTTGCTTGAATGAAACTTAACAATCTTTAAAGAGAGACAACAAAATCTAGGCACTACACCATGTAACACCTATAATGTCCAGTACCCAATAAAACTTACTATGTATGTGAAGAAGCAGAAAAATGTGAATAATAAACAGGAGAAGAATTGGTCAATAGGCTCAGAAATGACAAAGATGATGAAATTAGCAGAGAATTACTTAAAGAAGCTATTAAAATATCAAGAATTTAAAGGAAAACATAAATCAAATGAAATAAATGAAAACTATAAAAAGAACTAAATAGAAATTCTAGAGCAGAAAAATACAATATTCAAGATTAAAGCTTCATTGGATGGTCTTAAAAGCAGCTTAGATGCTACAGAAGAAAAGATTTGTGAATGAGGTAATAGTACAAAGGAATTATCTACACCAAAGCATGAAGAGAAGAAAAGTTGAAAAGAAAATGAACAGTCTCAGTGACCTGCAGGACAATACCAAGTTACCTAACACATGTAATCAGAGACCCAGAAAGAGAGGAGAGATGACTTAAAAATATTTAAAGAAATAATGGCCAAAACTTTTCTAAATTTAAGGAAAAATGTAAATGCACAGATCCAAGAAAGCAAACCAACCCCTAACAGGACAAACATGAAGAATCCTCAGCAAGGAAACTTACATTGCTGAAAACCAACAATTAAAAGAAAAATATTAGAAACAACCAGAGAAAAAGCCACATTGTATACAGGGAACAGAGACAAGAATTACTACTGACTCCACATCAGAAAGAATGTAAGCCAGAATTTAATGAAATTAAATCTGAATGAAAAAGCTCTATCAGTCTAGAATTTTATATCCAGCAAAATTTCTTTCAAAAAATGAAGGTGAAATAAAGGTATTTTCAGGCAAACAAAAGATGAGAGAATTTGTTGCTGCATATCTAAATTATAATAAATGCTAGAGCAAGTTCTTCAAATTAAACAAAAATGATTCCAAGTGGAAATTCAAATTCACAGAAGAGACAAATAGTGTTTAAAAATAGTGAATGTGTAACATAATATAAAGATTTTGTCTTCTTTTTAAAATTTATCTATATATAATTAACCACTTAAATCAAAAACAGTAGCAATGTTTTATGAGGTTTTAACAAATGAAGAAGTAAAATATATGTTAACAATGTAAAAGAATAGTGACTGGATATATAGTTATAAGGTTCTTATACCATACATGATGTGGTATAATTTGAAGGCAGATTGTGTTGAGTTAAAGGGACATATTGTAAGAGAAGTGACAAAAAAAGGTATCTAAAATCTAATAAGCCAATAGAGGAATTAAAACTAAAATACCATAAAATACTCAATTAATCCAAAAGGCGGCAAGGGAAAAAAAGGAAAAATAAAATGAAGAACAGATAGGCAAATAAAAACCAAGCAGCCAATATGATAGATTTAAACCCAACCCATACTGATAATTTCATTAAATGTAAATGGTCTAAACAGTATTGAAACGTCAAGATTGCCCTACTGAATTTTAAAAATTGGTCAAGACCCAACTATATGCTATCTACAAGAAATCCACTGTAAATCTAGAGCCATAGATCAGTTAAAAGTAAAAGAATGTTAAAGGAAAAATCACTAATCACAAGAAAGGTGAAGTAGCTATGTTAAAATCAGGCAAACTGAACTTCAGAACAAGAAATATTATCAAGGTTAAAGAGGGATGTTTCATAATGTTAAAGGACATATTTCATCAAAAGATATAACACACAGAAAAGCATCTAATAACAGAGTTTAGTAGTACACAAAGCAAAAGCAAACA